CTTGGCTCTCTGAAAACAAATAGCAACTATCACTTATGACAGACCCAAAATCAACTGCATATTTTTCAATCAATTATGACCTCCACCAATACTCATATTAAATACAACTTGGTATATAAAACTAGTACATCCTGCTACAACTGCAAACAACTTAAGAGCCTCAGGTGTAACTTGTTTGATTCTCTGAGCCTATAGTTAAGATGTCATCAAATCAGTCTCAAATATTTCTCAAATGCTATTTGAGTAAAAGTTCATGGAATGATGAAGTTAAGAATTTGAATGGGACTCCAGGGATTATTATCTAGGCAAACCAGAGATATTAAGTTACCTGCCCAAGGCGCTTCAGATAGTTACAGCAGACTTGGATGGAACAAGAATTGGGGGTCTTCTATTCCTGACCTTGATCTGGCCACCCACTATCCCACACCATTTCTCAGAAACTGTTTTGCAACATAGTTACCATCATCAAAATTCTTTCGATTAAAAGAGACTACTATCTATGTATATAGGATTTGTATAATGAGTTTCGACAACAAAAAAAAACCTTTACTAAGAAGCAAGGAAGATAGGGAGGGAGGGAGGGAAAGAAGGAAAATAAAAGAAAAAAGGGGGAGAAAAAAAATAGTGGTAGAACTTTATTCCTATTTCTATTGTGCCCAGAAGTTTACTTCAAGAGCTGTTCTCCTGACATTTGGGGGTAACTTGGATTTCTGCAAATATGTTCATTTCACACAAACTTCCACCAAAAAGTTGGAAATGCATACACCATGGTGAATACATATTGATATATTTAATGAAATCACGTAGACTATTACCTGTTTCATTTCTTTATTCTTAGCATTGCACATGCTACCAGTACCAGATTCTCAGTAGGCATGAATGAGAGAACGAGAAAGATGAATAAATGGAACGGTGTTCATGGGTGGGCTTGATGTGATTCCTGCTCCTCCCAGGACCACCATGAAACCTACAGTCTTGAGCTTTGTATTTTCAGCCTGTTTTATCTAATCATCCATAGGTGAGTAGTGAGACTCTGGTGTGCTCATTTATAGTAACAAAACTTTTTAACTCATGTGGTAGAGGTCAATCTGATTGTTTACAGTTAGAACATCACTGTCAGGATTACAAGAACACTGGCATTGGGATTTGGCAAAGGAGTCTCCCAGGGAAATAAAATCAACATTTGAATATAGCTTGATGAAAAGATTCAGGGTTCAGGGAATACACATAGGTAGCTAGATTTAGTTGAACAAGATAACACAGGGCTGAGGTGGGTTGGAGACAGAAGATGATGTTGAGGGTTACATCATAGGAAGTAGCTAATTCATATCCAAATTATTTACAGCCTAGATTTTGTCAACAAACTACTGTTCTCTAATATGTATGGCATTTTATGAATGAGGATTCAGTTACACCAAAGCAGAGTACTGTCGACACTGCACCCTGGGCAGGATACACACGGGAACTCAGGCTCCCAGTAGACATATGGGTTGAGAAGAGGAACCAAGCACTAAGGTCATCAGGAATCAATTGTCTTGAGTTGTCAGGGCAAGAACCAGACTCTGAGGTACATTTTGACTGAAGAGGGGAATAGGGGTGGAGCGTGGTGAGAAATAGCCTGAGCAGTGAAGGGGATTAGGAGGCCATTTAAGGCTTGGGCCATCCTGTGGAGGACTCTGTGGTCAGGAAGGATCCTGTTTCTGGATGAATAAGGTATGATGCAGAGTTCTCTAAAAACAAGGTGGTGCCAATCCATGCATAGTCTTGGCATTATGTACTTAAAACCTTACTATTTAATAGAAACATAATATAAACCAGATCTGTAATGTAATATTTTCTAGCAACTATATTTTAAAAAGTAAAAAGAAACATGGGAAATTAATTTTAATAATATACTTTTATTTAACAAAAAGTTCCAAAATATTATCATCTCAACATGTAACTTTAGGCATATTTCAAGTGCTCAAAAGCTAGTTGTGGCTAGTGGCCACCATATTGGACATTGCAACTCTCAAACCATGCTAAAATCAAAACAAAGGGTTTAATAACTACCCTGTACTTTCAAGGTCACTGAAGGCTTTTGTTACTGTAACATCTCAAATTAGTTTCTACTATTACAGCTTACAGTTTAATGTCTTAAAGTATATTTTACAATCTAGGTTTGATTCTGGCCTCTACTGATACTAATTGTGTGGTCTTGAGCATGTTACTTAATCTCTTTGATTCTCAGGTTTCTCACCTGTCAAAATGAGCAAAATAAATGTTCTCCTAAAAAATTATTTTGAGAAGTAAATAATTGGGTCCTTAGGAGGCACTCACCAAATAGCTGCTCCTTTCGATTCTCCATTACTTCAGACATTATATCTTTTATCACCTTCTCCTGGAGGAATAGCATCCAAGTCTCATCTCTGGTGGCTTTAATTCTTCTCCCACCACAATTCTGCAACCTCTAACATCCACACTTCTTATCACACTCTGACATCTGATATACACCAGCTCTGACCTTTTCCTTTTCTTTTTTATTCTTCTATAAACCCAAAGTATTCAATAGGCCTGCTTCTCTGGTTTGCTGGTAATTTGGTAGAAGGGAAACCCTTATTGGTTCCCAGGAAAAGCAATAGCACCTAACCAATAGCCCAGGCCGTGAACACTGTGTTTGGATACAGAACTCAAAGAACATCTGTTTCTGTCCCTCATAAAGCCTGTCTGTAATGACCACCTTGAACCCTACAGACTAGAGTTCTAAAACGCTCCAGTCCACTGATTTCCAGCCCCAGATCCTATAGTCCTTGGACCTAGAGAAGAGGGACGTCTATAAACTGACTGAGAACTGCTATGTGTACTATGGAACATAATAAAACTGTATCCTTCATTATCCCTGATTTTTCTTCCATAAAACACCAATACAGACAATATAGCACATCATTATCTACTGTGTTAACCTTTAGTGGTTTTATGCATGAGCAAGTTGTTTCTGCAATTAGATGATAAGCAACTTAAAGGCAGGGATCAGACTTCTAAAGAAGGATCACTGTATTCACTCCTGTATCTTCCACAGTGGTGCACACAGCAGGGGCTCAAGTAATACCTGTATAACTGCCTGACTACACATGGAGGTTTTCTAGCTTGTAGAAACAAAGGAATGCAGGAGCATGGACTAAGTGTCTGGGGTTCTGAGCAGGACCCATCAAATTCTGCAACGCGCAGCATTCCCCTGGCCTCCTACCACCACCCTAGCCTTAAAGGCAACCAACCTCCTATTTCCAGGCCTGCAGAGATCCTTCTGCTATGGTTAAGTCAGCAAAGAAAGGGCTCTATAGCCACTCACAACCTCTCACAGCCCAATTCCCCTTCCACTGACGATTTTCCTAGGGGTGCGGCACTAGCCCAAGATCATACAGCTGAATCACTTCCGGCCCAGCGCCTAGATTTCCTGCAGCCTGACCTAGCGTCCTTTCCCTGACACATACTCCGCATCGCAAGGGGATGACCTCTTTCAGGAGTCTTGGAAGACTGAAAACCCTCAATATCTTAAGTGGTGATTCACCAAATACAGAAACCAAATGTTACAACTGACGCGGGGGTGGGGGTGAGGGACGGAATACGAGAGCTAGGCAAGAGATCTTATCCTTCCCTCTTTCAAAATTCAAGCTGCTGCATCAGGCAGGCACCTACTTCCCTTGAGACAGCCTCTGCTGGGGGCCAGGATAGGCTGGGCCGGGCCAAGTTGGGGGAGATGCAGAAAGCGGTAGGGTCCCGCACACACATCCCATGCTTACCACGATCACCACCTTGGGAGTGGGGCCCTTAACCTCCCGCTGTACGATGCCAAACCGCTGGCTGTACATTTTCGAGTCCCCTCGGGATGGGGGCGGCGTCCGCCGCAGTTCCCCAACCACGGCGATCTGTGATACAATCTTCCGCGACGCAGAGGTCTGGTTGCCATGGTGCGCCTCGAGGAACTAGGGGCAGGTGAGGCGGAAGTTGGTCCCGTCACCATGGTGACCACAGACGCCGGCACTCGCGACTTCCTCTTGGAGTGGAAGAGCTGAGTCTGCGCAGTCCTCACCCCGCCTCCCGCCGACCTCGCTCCCTTCCTCTAGGGTTCATCAAACAGCAGAAAAAAGCCTCCTTAACCCGAAGTGAAGTCGAAGATCTATTTACATCCAATTGATTTTGCTACTTATATCCTGTAATCGGTCTAAAAGCACAAGAAAAGTTAGTGGGCATTTTGTGACAAGGTAAAATCTTGAGGCCATCATTAAGTTAATCTTGATGACATAAATCATTACAGGACAATCTTATTTGTGTAGCTTTTTACAGGAATTTGCAAGGTATTTTTCGCACATAAAAAGTCTCAGCTTTACAAATATCTTAGAAAGTTGATGTAACAGCAGGTAGTATCCTCATTTTACAGCTGAAACAATTAAAGCTGAGAGCGCCTAATTGCTTCGTCAGCCAACCAGACCAGTAATGGTAAATCTATTAAAATCAGGAAACCAGGGCTCAGACTTGAGGTACCCTCGGATGGCGAACAGTTCAGAAGGGCTGGTAGGGCAGTGACTAGACCTGGCTGAGCACAATAAAAACCAGGACCAGAATAAGGGTGTGAATCATAAATGCAAGTGATCAGGCTCTGAGATTCCAGATCCCAGGCAGGGTAACAATCAGGAAACCTAGAAGAGGCCCTCAGCACAGGTGGAGACCACAGCTGTACTTCCGGTCAAGAGCAAGGTGGTAGTTAACACCGAAAAGCCAAATAGGAATGACACTTTGGTACTCTCATTCTAAAGTGGAGGCGAACACAAAACTATCACTACAGCACAGGAAAAAAATTAGCACCTAGTCGGTGTAATAACCAAAGTACAACTAGTACTGTGTATCCCATCTTAAGACCACAATTTACTGTAAATTAGTATTCCTTAATCGTTTGTAATCCTCCCACTTCGGATTTTGTATGCAGTACTTTTCTAGGTTTGGACTTCATTTCCTGAATTGCTGGTTCAGCTTTTCAGCCACAAAATAATGTGTCTCTCTTCTCTTTTAAAATCTCTTTTAATAATTCTCTCATTTTGTCTTTTATCTCCTATAATGCTTCTTCTTTGAATTGCAGTTCGGCAATATACTCATTTTCATTTACTGCTAAGAGTTTACGTAGCCTGAAACAAACAAAAAAGAAAGAAATTAGATGGTCGTCTCCGTTCCCTGGACGGGGTCCTGAAGGCCAGTTCTTTAATCTTCGAGTCCCACGGGTGCCTGGCCCACCAGCTGGCCTGAATGGAACCACCCCTAAAACCACGCCCTTGGGGAAGAAAAGGAGGCAATGAAAACGCCCTCGGCTAGAGGCGGGGTCTGGCAAAAGCCACTGAGATTCAAGGACGCCCGTCGTGGGGAACCTCCGAGGGCTTACAGCCTGGAGGGTCCCGTCGAAATGAGTTTTCAGCGACAGAGGAAGCCAACTCTTGGCAACAACTGGCTGCCCTCGAGTGTTTCAGCGTCGGTCCTGAGCTCGTCGTGCAGCGCCCTCACCCTGGGAGGGCCCCGTAATTTAATTCCGTTTCGGTTTTGCCCTGTTGAGCCACTCCGTGAAGAGGGGATTCGGCTTCTCTCGGCACCAGCTCAGGGAAAGAAGTCTCCGCCCGGCGGAGGCCACGCCCCAGGGCCGCCCAGGCCAGGGGTGAGGGGCCGACTCTCCTAAGCCTTGGTGGGAGGACCGCGGTCCCGGCGCCCCCTGGCGGGCCTATTCGGAAGGTGGGGGGGGGCGGACCACGCACCAAGTCTCAACCCCCTGGGCGGCCTAAGAGAAGTGATTCACCCAAGGTCCTTGGACAGAACCTGACCTTGATCTTGCCACCCACTATACCACTTTCTCAGAGGCAGTCAATTAACACTGTTAACCACCAACAAGACACTCCCAAAAGAAACACTAAGTATATAAATCAGTAAACGGGACAATAAAAATCATTTAAAAATAATTTTAAAATAGAACAGCATAGAGATAGAAACTATTTATATTATTTCCAATGCCTATTGTGCCCCAACAAGGTTCACGCAAGGGCTGTCCTCCCAACAGGTTCCTGAATTCTGTATTTTCACCATGAAATTCCATGATAAAGCTGGAAATCCATTCATCATTTGTAAATACACGTAAATTGATGTAGTTAATAAAATTGCAAGGACTTTATCTTTTTCATTCCTGAATCCCAGTATTAAGTACAGTGCCTATCATGGGCCAGGTTCTCAATACTTGAATGAGTGACACAAAAATAGCCGAGACCAGCAAGTTTTTTCTGAGTGGGCTTGACAATTTCTGTACTTGCTGGGGTCACCATGAAATCCATGGTCTTCAGCTGTGCATTTTCAACAACGTAGCTTTATCAAGTTATCCTCAGGTGAGTAGTGAGACCCTTAGGAGCTGATTCATGGCAGGGTAGCTTTGTAATGTGTCACCTTGACTAGGCTACGTTTCCTGTACTCCCCAGTATGCTTCCGGTTAGGATGGGCCACAAGAGACATTCTGCGTGATAACTGGAGGGCAGAAGTGAAGCAGCAGCACATTGTTTTTACACTCGGAAGGTTGGTGCAGGGGCACCGGGCACTGTTGCAGTTCACACATGTTGTCATTTATCTGCTGGCTCACCTCGTTGGTTCAGGGCAGCAGTCAGGCCTATAGCCAGGCCTGCAGCTGCTCCACCTTCCCCAGGAGCTTCCTTCAGCTTCTCTAATTCCTGGGCCAGATGCATATTTAACTCTGTGATGAAGGGCACCAGCTTCTTCTGCAGGACACCCACATCATCGAAGTTGGAGGTGGTGAGAGACTGACATGGGTTCCAGGCCATCCTCGTGGTTTCCAGCTCGTGCTTGTGGGCGCCAATGTGTCCTTGGTCTCCCACACTTTACATCCATCTTCCCTTCCCGATTGCCTGCCCTGCAGACTTCAAGCTCCAGCATTAGATGCAAAGACAACAGCCTTACAGAGACTGTTCAACCAGCTCCCACAATTGCATAAGGTCAGATTCCTATAATAAATCCCTTAATATACATATATGCATTTACAAACATATATATAACATCTTCATATTAGTAGTGATGCTTTTCTGATTGTACCCTGATACACATGGTAACCAGACTCTTACCTCATAAGTCAGAATGCTATTCAAATAAATTTCACTTAGGACATCAATGTCAAAATTACCAGAATACTAGGTTTATGTGGTTGGATCCTGTGGGGGAGCAAAATGGTATCAAGAAAATTATCCAGTCTTGATTCTGGCTGAAGTAGGTAGGATGAGGCAAAGGAAGGAGCAGAGGAGGGCAGCAGAGGGCTGTATGAGTTAAAGTAGAAATATGTTTAATCTACATCTGAATTATCTAGAACTGCAGGGCTGGGACTAAAGTAAGGCAAGGGAGAACACACAGGCTACAAAACTTAAGAAGGCATGCACTCAGTCCTGGCCCTGTAAAGCTAGCTAAGTAACGGAGCACAGGTTTAATCTTTGTGGCACTTTATGAAAAACTGGAAAGTGACACAGGGTTGAGCTAAAACTGGACCTTAGGCAGGACCTGAAGCAGAACTCAAATGCCTAGTGGACAGGGGCTGAGAGCAGAAACCAAGCACAAAGGTCATCAAGAGACCTGAGCCAGGCCAGGAGCTTTACTTCTGAAGACCCAAAAGTCTTCAGAAGTAAAGAGTAAAGAGAAGGGAGAATGACAGTAACAAGCCAGACAGCAGCCAGTGGGGAAGGATGCCTTTAGAGTTTAGGAATCCTATGCAGCACCCAAGACCTGGGAAGAAACCAGTCTTAAGAGGCACAGGTGCTCTGATTAGGTGGCACTACACTGCCTTGGCGCTCCCTAAACCACCCTAAGGGCAGCAGTGTAAGCGATCTGTTATAATGCTTAGAGTAATCCACCTTGTTTTCAAGGTAACTAAAAACTCGTTAATATAACATTATTACACACTATTGGATACAGGTTATAGTTTACAGTTCAGTGGCTTAACTAAGAACAAGGCTTTTACAACCTGGGTTTGATACTAGGCTCTATCAATAGTAACTGTTCGACACTGGGTAAGTTATCTAGTTTCTGTGAGTCTCGTTTTCCCATCTGCAAAAGTGGGCAAAACCAATGCGTTCCTGAAAAAAGACTGAGGATTAAATAAATTAGGTCCACAGGAGGAACTCACCAAATAGCAATTCCTTTTCTCATTTATGCACATTATATTTCAACTGCTGTCTCCCTGAGGAAATGTTTAGAGACACTACCAGGTCTCATCCAAAAGCCATTTAAAATTATTTATGATGATGGCCTGTTTAGGTTGAAAGTGGCTTTAATTACATCCCCTTCCCCCACCCCCGCTCCCCCATCCTTACTATCCACACTTCTTATCACACTCAGGCTGCTGGGATTTATACCAGTTGGACAGATGCACCCACTTTCTACTCTTTTTCTTCCTTTTCTGCTTACTTCCTCTGTGAGCTCAAAGTACTGAAAAGGCCTGCTCCTCTGGTTTGGTAGTAGGCTTTCCCAGTTGCTCCTGACTCCCACACAAGCCCTGGCAATCGATCTATGGTCCAGCCTCTGAGCAGATCAGTGTTGTCTCTCATAAAGTCGGTCTGTAAATATCACCTTGAGTCCTACAGTCTGGAGAAGCCTCCCGTCTACTGCTTTCTAGCTCCAGGTTTTTTAAGGTCCTTGGACCTAGAGAAGAGGGAGCAGGTCTGTATGTTGAATGAGGTTCCCTATGCGCAAAGCAGAGCATCACAAAACCATTTCCTACCCTTCTGTGTCTGCCATCCATTTCCCCTTAAATATCCCTTATCTCTCTTCTCTCTTCTTCCAATACAAACAACGTAGCAAATCAAGCACACCATTAGCTTCTCCATTAATGTGTAATGATTTCATGTATAGGGGAAATTGTTTCACTAGTTAGATTATAAGCTCCCTGAAGGCAAGAATCCTGTCTCCTGAAGGATAAGCCTTCCAGGGTCATTGTATCCACCTCTGTATCTCCCACGCTGCAGTGTGCCCAGCAGGGCCTCTCAGTACCTCATAACTTGCCCAAGAACAGGCAGAGGAGTTTCTGGCCTGCTAACACTAGTTTGCAGGAACAAAGGAATCCAGGTGCTCAGGCCAACAGTTAACGTTGCCCGTGTCTGGGGCCCTGTGCAGGGCAGTCATTGCTCTGCAAGAGGCAGCATTCCCTTGTCCTACTCCCACCATCACAGTCCTTACAAGCACCTATCCTTCCTTCCACTGCCAGGCCTGCAGGGACAGTTCTACGCAGCAGCAGAAGCTTAATAGCCTCAACAGGCTCCAAAAAGGCTCAAGAAGCACAGCCTAATCCCCCTCCACAGAGGATACTCCAGGAGGGACAGGACTTGCCCCAGATTACACAGTTGTGTGTGGACCCACATCACAACACCATCTCAGTACCCAATTCTCCTGCCAAGCCCACCCATTCATCTCCTGGAGACTTCACAGGCCTTCAAGACCTCAAATGATGTCTGAATAAGAATTAATATATTAAGTGTGAGCTCTGTGGATTTTCCTTGGGATATGTGGACAAGGCTTTCCTTATCTTCCTTTTTCTTTCAAATGTCACCACAGGGCACCCTGTCCTCTCCCCTCATCACCTCCCATGACCCTCCTCAACAAGAGCCCTGACCTAGACCCCAGGAGAAAAATCTAGGGTCCTATACTGATCGTGATCAGAGCAGTGGTGTGGGGCCTTTACCTCCCACTACACCAGTCCAAAATCCTGGCTATACTTTAAAAACTGAGGGCCCACATCTGACCAGCACCCACCCGTGCCCACCCCTCACTGTACGGGGCACACCTTGGCAACCAGATTGCTGTGTCCCGGAGGCGGGTTCCACCCAGGCTGAAAATCTCCGTGATCTGGGGAAGAATTAACATCAGGGTCAACATGGCCAGTGGGGCTAAAGCAAGGTCAGGGCAGGGTGAGGTGTCCCCCAGCACTGACCACGGGTGTGCCAGCCCCTCCTGCCTCCTCCTCTGGGGCCAATTCAGAGGCGGAGTCATCTTTGTTCTCCTCCTCCTTGTCCTCCTCAGGGTCAGGTGGCTCTTGCTTCACAGGTGGCAGGCCTGGGTCTACTGCCTGGGAGAAGTGGGAAACGGGCAGCTGTCAGAAGGGCAGGGCTGGCCTGAAACTCTCTCTATCAGCCAACCTGTCACCGTGCTGACAATCCCACTGCTGTCACACTTGAGCCCAGAAAAACCATCTCTCTGCCTACAAATCTTTTGCATTCCTCATAGATTTCCATTCTTCTGTTAGCTGGGCAGCAAAGCAGGCAAAACTAGTTGCCTGGGGAGGATGGGGCATCTGTCAGACAGGCGGGATAATTCTGTGAGAGGATGTAATCAGCACACGTAACTACTTTGCTCAAAGAACCATCATGGCTCACCATCAGTCTGCTCACAGACCACCCATCACAGACCCCCACCTTGCTGGGGCAGCCAGGCAGCAATACAGGAGAAGTCAGGATGGCTGTGCCCGGTGTCCAGTCTTCCAGGGCATCCGCCTTCTCTTGCTTCACCTGGGGTAAGGCCACAACCCAACTCAGGCCAGGGCACTGGGCCTCCTGTGTGAAGCAGGATTGCAGCAGACTTGGTCCCAGCTTCCCAGCACGAGGCTGGGCAGGGTTGGGAAGGGCAGGATAAGGTGGGACCCTCACCTGCAACAGAGCTTCTGTGGAAGCTGGGGCCGGGCCAGGCACCTGCACAGGACTGCTTGCACCCTCCCGTAAGAACACAAGGTCGGTGCCAGGTGGGGGCAGCACAAAACCACTGCCCGCTTCCTGCTTCACTGGAGTCTGGGCATGGTCTGGTCGGGCTGTGGGTGTGACCAAGGGAGGCTTCAAGGTTTGACCCAAACAGGGCCTTCGAGTAGAGCCAGGCCTCTTTCGACGAGGGTAAGGTGGGGGCGGCCCTGCCCCATCCTCGGACTCCGCCCAGACACTTGGCAGGAGCCGCTTCTGTAAGGAGAAATGGGGTGTTATGACCACCTGGTTCAATGACCAACCACACTACTCTGCCCTGATCAGTGTATGCCTGCTAATCACCCCCATCAGTACCAGTACAGAATCTGCTTATATATGAGTCCCCCGCATCATCAAGCCTGCTAGTCTCCTGTGGGCAATGCCAGTGCCACCCAGATTCCTCGCTTATCCCAGGACAATGTCTGCTAATTGCCTGCCAAACCCATGGCCACACCCATTGCTCTGAAGCTGCAGGACCTATCTAGCCTGTCCCCACCCACCTACTAGGCCTGCCCACCCTTCCCAGGCACTGGGGGGGGGGGCTGCCCTATTTGTCCCCACTACCTGACCCTTCCTGCTGCACCCACCATAGCAAACTGCAGGCACTGGCGCCAACGACACTTCTGGCGCTTCTGGTTGCTGCCCCCAAATTTGGGCTTGTCACAGCAGAAGTCGCAATGGCCACAGTCCATGCGCCGCAGGCAAGCTGCACAGGCCCCACACTTGCGGTTCTGCCGGCGGTTTGTGTAAGGCTGCTGGGGAACAGGGAAAGGAGGTTGCTGTCACTAAGACAATTATAATGTTGCTCCTGTTACTTTCCCACTAGCCTGGCTGGAGGGAACTGGTTGCACACTAGTCTTAGCCTGACTCCCTACTAGTCACAATTCAGTGCCTTCTAGTCCAACACCAGGCACCATCACTGCACCAGATGGCCCTCGATACAAGGATCGTAGCTGCTCCAACACAGTATCCAAGATAGGCACCAACACCATGTCCTGGACTCCTGCCTCCAGCAGGATTTTGTTGACCCTCTATTAGCTCCCATCACTGTGCCTGCAATGTCTGCTTATCTTATGTGAACTTCAGTCTCTGTGCCAGTTTTTCCTTTATTAGCTCCACCAGAGTGTTGGTTCATCTGACTGTCACTGTCACTGCACCTGTTGATCCCATATTAATCCCTCCCCCATGGTCTGCTTATTGCACACTAGTACCCATCACTGAGCCTTACTATTCCCCTATTAGGCACACTGCAGCATCTGCTTCTTTGGTGTTAAACCAAATGCCCTGGGAGAGTCTAGGCTTGTCCAGGTGAGGGTGAGACCACTCACTAGCTCATCCTCGACTACACAGTAATAGATGAATTTGGCAGGTGGTGAAGGGGGACTCTGGGGTGCTGCAGAGGCAAATGGGTGGGGTCAGGGCAGGTGGGTGAGGTTATGGTTGTGCCTTCCCCCTGCCCACCAGGGCCTCACCGGCTCTGGAGACTCTGGAGGTTGTGACGGGGGAGGTGGAGGCGGTGGCTGGGCTCGGGGGCGCCGCCGGGGAGCCACCTTAGCGTCGCAGCCTCCCCTGCGGCGGCCATGTTTACCCTGGGAAAAAGCCAGAAGGATACTTTAGACTTGATGGCACAAGGCAGACAAAGAACCACCTCCCTCCCCCTAGGAGTGCAGAAAGCATGCGTGTAGGACAGGCAGGCAGAGTGTGGGGTGGGGCACTCACAGCAGGGGGAGCCACAGCTAGGGGAGGGCGTCGTTGACATCGCTGATGGTGACGACGGAGACGGTGGGCAAGGTGCTGGCAGACAGGGACAGGTAGTTGGGGCCAGGGCGGTGAGCATGGGGTTGGGGAGAAAAGAAGACATGAGGTGGGCAAGGCCAAGTTGGAAGAAAGCAGCAGCAGCAGCTTTAATAGCAGAATGAGCTCTGCCCCAGCCCTGACCCCACCAGCGCTGGCCCCTCCAGCCTGACTCACCCGCAGGCAACGCCGCTGGACGCACCTCCACTGGCGCCTGAGACCGGGGCGGGGAGGGCGAAGGCAGACTCGACAACGGCCACAGTCCTCTCGGGTCTGACAGCCCCGGCATACTCCACACCCTCGGCTCTGCAGGGGGGCCGGAGGTGTGATGTATGGGGCCAGGGCTACGGGGCCAGGGCTGGGGTGAGCTTGGGCCCACCCCACCTGCTCGACTCACCCTTTCCACAATCCGGAGGCACCGTCTTCGCTCACACTTGCAGAAGAGCCCCGAGGCCACATCATGGGGCAACTGCAGAAGGCAGGTGGAGCAGGCCCCACAGTCTTCCGTTACCTGGCAGGCCGCACACTCCCCGCAGCCCACACGCTGCCAGGAATGGGTGGGGCAAGGTCACAGGTCCAGGCAGAGTGGCTCCAGGAGCACTGCCCCTCACGTTTCTGCTGACCCCACATTAGGCCCTATCACTATGTCTACTAGTCTCTCATCTGCCTCATCACTGTCTGATAATTACTGATGAGCCACCATCATTGAGGTCATAACAATGTCTACTGTTCCCCTGTTAACCTCATCACTGTGTCTACTGACAGCCCATTAACTCCCATTACTGTTGGCTGGCTACAGCCAGCTCTCTACAAAATGACTGACACCCTGTGGATCCAACACCTTTCCTTCAGACCCTCAACAGCCCCCATCACATCATTGCACACTTGTCAGGAGGAGGCAGGTCGTGCTTACCTTAAACTTCCTCTGCTCCCGGTTAAAAGCAATTCTCTGTGCTGCAGGGAGGAAGAAAGGAGAAGAGAAATATAAAGGGAGCATCAGATATCTAACTTCACCACTGCCTCTGCCCTGACATCTACCATTCAACCTCCAGACACTTGTGTCCTAGCCTGCTCCAGCTCTACCTCCCAGTGCCATAGGGGCAACTCACCTCGGCAGTCCTTGCACAATGTCTTGAGTCGCTGCCTTCGGGTACCATCCCCTGAGAAGCTGATTCCACAGTTCTCACAGCACCTGAGATGGGAAACATGGATGTGGGGCCCTGAGTGCACCCCTAAGCACAACCCTCATGGACTTGGCTCACTTTAGGCCAACACTCACCCAGGCGCAGGAAGTGACGCTGGGGCTGTGTCAGCATCAGCCTTGGTCTCATCCCCTGGGGCCTCCTTCCTGACCTCACTCTTCTGAGGTCCAACCTGACGTTTCCGAGCCTTGGCTGGCCTCGAAGGCTTCTTCCGCTTCCTGCTGGGGATGGCCACGGAATGAGAGGACTGGGCCTAGAGATGAGAGCAAGGGCAGGAAGAATGTAGGTCAGTGGTGGATGTTAGGTGGCTCAGCCACCCCTGCTTCGGTACCCCTCACTGTATAGTACCTTGGGTGCTGGATAGCACAGGATGCCTTGTTTGAAGTCAAAGAGGGTGAGGTCGCATGCAGGGCCCAGGTACCGGGTCAGCTCAACTTTGCTTCGGATCCTGTCTCCTGTGGGGCTGGGGGTGGACCAACATGTAATGGTACATAGGTGGAGCAACTGCCACTCCACCCACACGACCCTCCCACTGGGCTGGCAAATAGGTCTGCAGAGCTGGTGGGATATAGGAGGCAGCCTGAGATCGGCCTATGAACCCTGAACAGGCCCTACTGCAACTAACCCTGAACAGTAGGAATATAAAAAGGGTATAAATACCAGCATGCATACAAACATTAATGAATAATATAAACATAAGTGGATATGCATGTATTTATAACAGGTGCTACTAGTGGTATTCTATGTAAGTGAAAATAAACACAAATAGGAACGCAAATGTATTAAATAACATGTAACTGTGTTAGCATTACATACTAAATATGTAAACAAATAATGAAAACTTATATAAGAAACAAGCAAATGTTTTAAATACAGCTGGCCCTTGAACAACGTGGGTTTGAACTGCACGGGTCCACTTATACACAGATTTTTTTCAATAAACACATTGGAAAAATTTTTGGAGATTTGTGACTATCTGAAAAACCTCGAACCACGTAGCCTAGAAATATTGAAAAAATTAAGAAAAAGTTAGGTATGTCATGAATGGATAAAATATATGTAGATACTAGTCTATTTTGTCATTTACTAAAATAAAATATACATAAATCTATCACAAAAAACTAAAACTTATCAAAACTTACACACACAAACACTTAAAGACCATATGTGGCACCATTCACAGTCAAGAGAAACTAACAAATGTAAAGATGCGTATAACATCACAAATGCATAAAATTAACTGCAGTACACAGCGTACCACTATAATAATCTCATAGCCACCCTCCGTTGCTATTGCAGTGAGTTCAAGTGTTGCAAGTGTCTACTTAAAATGCCATGGAAGGCTAATCATCTCCAAGTGAGCAGTTTGTTTCTCTAGTAAATTGTACATCACAGTAGAAAGTGACCCCTTGTGGTTCTCACGTCATTTTCATTGTGTTTTGTGCAATATCGTAAGCCTTGAATATAACACCATGGGACCCAAAGTGTAGCTAGTGGTGCTGGAAGTGCTCCCAAGAAGCAGAGAAAAGTAATGACATTACAACAAAAAGTTGAATTGCTTGATATGTACCGTAGATTGAGGTCTGCAGCTGTGGTTGCCCGCCAATTCAAGATTAATGAATCCAGCGTAAGGACTATTATAAAAAAAGAAAAGGAAATTCATGAAGCTGTTGCTGCAGCTATGTCAGCAGGTGCGAAAACCTTGCACTTTTTGCAAAATATCTTTCTATCTCATACTGAAAATGCAGCTTTCATGTGGGTGCAGGATTGCTATAAGAAAGGCATACCTATAAATTCTAATATGATTTATTCACTTTGAGAAAAAGTGAATTCATTATATGACAACTTAAAGCAAGAGGAAGGTAAAGGCTCTAAAGCTGGAGAACTGAATGCCAGCAAAGGATGGTTTGATACTTTTAGAAAGAGGTTTGGCTTAAAGAAAGTCAAGATAACAGAAGTTGCTTGCCATCCAAGAGGCAGAAGACATTAAGAAAATCATCGAGGAGAAAGGATATCTCCCTGAAGAGGTTTTTAACATAGACAAAAGCACCCTATTCTGAAACAACAACAACAACAACAACAACAACAACAACAACAACAACAACAACAACAAAACTGTCATAAAGGACACTTATCAGTAAGGAAGACAAGTGAGCACCAGAATTTAAGACAGGAAGGGGAAGGCCGACTCTCCTGTTTTGTGCAAATGTTGTCAGGTTTGAAATCAGGACTGCCCTTATTTATAATGTTGCTAACCCTTGAGCCTTGAAGGGAAAAGACAAACACCAGCTGCCAGTCTTTTGGTTGTCCAAGAAGCCTGGACAGTGGGAACCCTTTTTCTGGACTGGTTCCATCAATGCTTTGCCCCTGAAGTCAGGAGATACCTTGCCAGCAAGGGACAGCTTTTATAGTCCTTTTGATATTGGACAATGCCGCTGGCCACCCAGAACCCCATGAGTTTGACACCAAATGAGTCAAAATGGTCAACTTGCCCCCAAACACAACATCTCGAATTCAGCCTAAATCAGGGAGTCATAAGAACCTGGAAGGCTCATTACAAATGGTACACTATGGAAAGGACTGTCAACACTATGGAAGAGAACCCTCATAAAGAGAACATCATCAAAGTCTGGAAAGACTATGCCATTGAAGATGCCCATCATTGTTATAGAAAAAGCCATGAAAGTCATCAAGCCCCAAACAATAAATTCCTGCTGGATAAAACTGTCCAGATGTTGTGCATGCTTTCTCAGAACTTAGGACCAAGGCAGTCAACAAAATCACGAAAGAGCCAGTAGACATGGCAACAAGGTGGGAAGGGATGAAGGGTTTCAAGATACAGATACTGTATTTAGGAGCCAATAGATACCATACCAAAGAAATTAACATAAGATGACTTGATGGAGATGAGAGCAGCCAAACCAGGGACAGATGATGAGAAAGAAGACAAAGGAGTGCCCCCCCCAAAAAAAAAAGACATAAGACAATCTAACAGAAGAGTTCCAATATGTAAGACTGCTTTGACTTCTTTTAAGACATGGACCCGTCTATGATATGGGCACTGAAACTAAAGCAAATGGTGGAAGAAAGATTAGAACTGTACAGAAACATTTTTGGAGAAATGAAAGCGCAAAAAAAAGTCAGACAGAAATTATGATGTAGTTCTGTAAATGTACACCAAATGTAACGCCATCCTCTATGCCTCTCATTCTACCTCCTCCTTCTACTGTCTCTGCCACCAACCTCTCCTCTTCCTCCTCCTCAGTCTACTCAACATGAAGACAACAAAGATGAAGACCTTTATGATGATCCACTTCCACTTAATGAATAGTGTATAATCACTGGGCCATACAGTTAATACTTATTTATTGCGTTTGTGTGTATCTTCATGGGAAAATCTAACAAATGTACGACAAAGACTGTATGAGACGTTTTTGTGTCACCATCATCATTGCTCAAGTAGTCATCATATCCAAGACTTGAAGTGGATAGACTATCCTTACACAGACATAAGGTGAGTGTTATTTAATATAAAATTAATAATGTGTTAGTTTTCTAGCTGATTTATAACTTTCAAAGAATATTTCTTGCTTTCAAAGAATTATATCACCATACAGTATGCCTCTCTCTGGTAAACAGAAAAACTGCCCATCATCACAGGTAAGTGTTTTTTTTTAAATGTAACAATATTTCCAACATTGCATTGTGAATACGATTATAATACTATATGCCATAAAAATTTTATAACAATTCATTCATTCATTAGTGTATAGGTTAGGCTACCATGAAATAATCGTATCAATTATAGCAGGCTACCATAAAGCAATCATATTGCTCCTTCTTCATTTCAATGCATGAACTGTTATACCTGTAAATAAATGTCAATTTTTCATATTATCTTTTCATTTTTAATGTCTGGTGTTAGCAATACGTATAATATCTACAATGTTTTGTATCATATAAGGTAATACTGATGTAGGTACTGACAGGCGATTCATCTTGAAAACGAAGTAAACTTACAGTACTGAAAAATACAGTCCTGTAATGAACTTTTTC